TAGCTGATTACACATGGATTTCGAATGGAATCTAATCAGAAGCGAATTGGAATTGTGCAGGTCCCAAATCCAGCTGGCTCCAGACATATCCCTATTGTAATCATCCAGCTCAAGTCTAAGTTATGCACGTCCCAGATCCAGCTGTGTCCAAGTGGATTTCTGCTGGAAGCTAATCCGAACATAACAAGAACGAAGCATATCTCGGACCCTGCTGATCCCACTTGGACTCCAGCACAAGGAAACAGCGGAGATTTGACGAACAGGAAAGATGGATGGGCAGGCGCTGATGAAAAATAATGCGGGCGATCAGTATGAGTACGGATGGAGAGCTCAAAGACCGATGCAACATGAATGGGTGCTGGCTGAAGGGGGCTGCACAATATATATATATATATATATATATATATACATATATATATACATATGGATGTATGGACAGCCCCCCCAAGCACCCATTCTTACCAGCATTCACTTATGACCAAGGTTCTCTTCCTTTCCTCCTCCTCCTCCTCGTCTCTCGCTCTCTCTCTCTCTCCCTCTCTTTTCTATCCCCCTCTATTTCTCCCTATGTCTCTCTTGTTCTATTTTCTGCTCCCTCTCTCTTTTTCTCATGTTATTTGCGTTCTTTCTCTCTGCTGTTTTCTCTCTCGCTCTCTTTCTCTCTTTCCTTTTTTTCAATGTTCTTTTTCCCTCTCTCTCTCTCTCTCCCTCTCCCTCTCTCGTTCTCTCTGTCTCTGTCCCTGCCTCCGTCGCTGTCTCTCTATCTCTCTCTGTCTCCCAGACACACAACACAATCTCTGTGACAACACAAGGTTTGCGATGCCAGGGGTGTGACAACCCATTTTTTGGGGGGTTTTATTCTGAAGAAAATACCCTGGGGCGAGAAGTGAGGAAACCATCTGCTTCCATGCAGATGTTTAGGGCTGTCCCCCCTACAACGTAGATCAAGCCCCGGAGTCCTCCCGAGAGCTCTGCCCCAGTATCACAAACACACCACACGCATTTGTGTAAGCACATATCGTTTCCTCGCTTTCCATCCCAGGAGCCCCAATGCAAAACACCAGGTTTGTAATGTAGCAGCTGCGGAAGCCAAGTGTTTTCATTTGGACGAAATGGGGAAGAAACCACTGTGTTTTCATTTGGATTTGAACATTTTGGTGTTCTCCCCCTTCCAGCGAAATTCGAACCCAGGAGACATCCCAGGACCTCCGATCCCCAGAATCATAAACATCATGCGCATCAAAAAGAGAGCACATGGTTTCTTCACTTTTTAACCCTAGAAATCACAAACATTCCAATGCCAACACATGGTTTCCGCACCCCGGAATGGGTGTTTCGTTTTTGGATTTTTGGTATTCTGGGGATCGGAGCTCCTGGGAGGGCTCTTGGGATTGAACTTCGATGGACGGAGGGAAAACAACACATCCCCAAACTCCCCCACAAAGCATAATATTTCCTCATTCTCATCCCAGAAGTCACACCAATCCGAATGAGAACATAAGCTTTCCACACCCCTGACATCGCAAACCTTGTGTTTTCACAGGGGTTCTGTTGGGTGTCTGGGAGGGAGAGAGAGAGAGAGAGAGAGAGAGAGAGAGAGAGAGGGGGGGAGAGAAAGAGGAACAGAGAGAGATAGAGAGAGAGAGAGAGAGAGAGAGAGGGAGAGAGACATCGACAGAGACAGAGACAGAAAGCGAGAAAGAGAGAGAGAGAGAGAGAGAGAGAGTGAGAGAGAGACAGAGAGAGAGAGAAGCATATTCCAGAAACAGCAGGTTCTAATTTGATTCCTACTGCTATTTCGTTACAGTGTATTTGAAAAGGGGCACATCCCAGATCAAGCTAGGTCCACTTGTGATTTCTTCTGGAATCTATTTAGACTCTAATTGGAATTGACCAGGTCACATCCCCAGCTGGTTCCAACATATTCTGACTGACCTCTAACTAGAACGTAAGTGTAATTGAGCAAATCCTACATCTTGCTGGTTACATCATGATTCCTGTTGGCATCGAGTTAAACTCTAACCTATATGGAGTAGATCCCAGATTGCAGCTGTTTCGAGTTGGATTCCTTGTGGAATCTGATTAAACTGTAATTCGAAGTGGGCAGATCCCAGATCCAACTGGTTCCAATTGAATTCCTATAAGACTATAATCAAGATCTGGTTAGAAGTGAGCAGATCTCGGATCCAGCTGATTCCAATATGATTCCGATTGAAACTTAATTAGAATCCAACTGAAATTGAGCAGATCCCAGGTCCAGCTGATTCAAATTCGACTCCAAGTAGGACTACAATCAGGATCTAATCGGAATTGAGCAGATCTCGGATCCAGCTGATTCCAATCTGATTCCGATCGAAACTTAAATAGAGTCCAGCTGGAATTGAGCAGATCCCAGATCCAGCTGATTCCAATTCGATTCCAGCACGAGAATTGACGAAAAGGAAAGATGGATGAGCAGACGCGGATGAAAACAAGGCGGATGATCAGTAGGAGTACGAATGAAGAGCTCAAAGACCGATGCAACATGCATGGGTGCTGAGGGGGGGCTGCGCATACACAGATACATATATGTATATGTGTGTATATACATATAAAAGGAGGAACAGAGAAAGAGAGAAAGAGAGAGAGAGAGAGAGAGATAGAGAGGAAGAGAGAGAGAGAGAGAGAGAGAGGGAGAGAAATCGAGATAAAGCGAGGGACTCGCGGGGCACGGTCAGAACATGGACTCATCCTCTTCTCACTCTCTCTCCCCCGCCCTCCTCTGCATCTTCCTCCTTCTCCTCATTTTCTGCGGGACCGGGAGCGAGGGAAGGAGTAAGGCGCAGGCGGATTCGTTCCTCAACGCGGTGGTGCTTTCTGGAGCGACAGTGGCAGCGACTGTAGCCTTTCAGCTTTGACGCGACGCATCTATACTTGAGTGGTCATCCCCAGCTTCCAGGCGACGCCTTGACATTTGAGTGTTTATCCCTGCCCCTTCTCCCTCTCTTCCCCCTGCATTCATCTCTTCCTCTTCTTCTCATGATGGGTACTCCACTGTGTGCACATCCGAAATGGTTGCTAAAATCTGACTCTCCCAGGCCAATGGCTCGGCCATACAACGATCCATCAACATCTCGAAACATCTGGCCGCCCGGAATATCAAGTGATCGTGGCCTGCACCGGTGTATCCATAGCTATCCTCCAAAAACCTAAACTCATCGCCCTTCGGCGACGCACCCGCACATTCGAGGAGACTCCAGCCTCGGTGCTTGGTCCAGGCGATGTCGCTGGGGTCTTGCCGCTCTCAGTCTGTCCCCCTCCTTTCCTGCCTCCCTGGACTTCCACTTCTTTTCGATTGCTCGCCCCCTCCCCTTCCCTCCCCCTCCCATCGTCCCCTTCATCCTGAATCAGTCCCGCATGCTCTGCGAGACGAGTGCTGGCCTCTGCTGACAAACTCCCAGCTTCATCGGCGTCGAAAGTCAAGCTCCCCTCCCGTCCCTCACTCCTTCACATCTCTCTGCCCCTCCGCTCCCTCCGCACCCCCTTCTGCCCACACGGCCCCTGCCCTCTCGGCTGCTCCCGCCGCTCCTTCCGCAGCGCCTCGCACGTCCTCCTCCTGCAGCGTCCGGCACGCAGGGCCCAAGGGTCCTCCTCCTCATCCTCCTCCTCCCTCCTCCTCCTCCCCCTCCTCCTCCTCCTCCTCCTCCTCCTCCTCCTCCTCCTCCTCCTCCTCCTGCCCGGCCCGAATGTGCGCACAAACGGCTCTTGGATCCCTCCCGGGGTCCATCCCGACTCGTGTCTCGAGGTGGGTCCAGCTGCGGCGACGAGAAGCCTCCAGGAGGTCCACGGTCACGCTAAAGTTACGCAGAGGAGGAAGAGGAGGAGGAGGAGGAGGAGGAGGAGGAGGAGGAGAGGAGGAGGAGGAGGAGGAGGAGGAGGAGGAGGAGAGGAGGAGGAGGAGGAGGAGGAGGAGGAGGAGGAGGAGGAGGAGGAGGAGGAGGAGGAGGAGGAGGAGGAGGAGGGGGAGGAGGAGGAGGGAGCCACGGTGGACCAAACACCGTGGCAGATGCCCTTTTCCAATACACTATTACATTCTTGCGTTCCTCTTTCGACTACCTCTTGCTCGATCGCCCGCCCAGGCACACGCCTTCATCCACCAGACAGGCGACGCAAACAGCTTTACTGCCAGCCTATAAGTATCAGCGTTGCCACTTCACTTGCTATTTCGTACTTGAGGGCGGTGGCGGGAGTTGTTGGAAGCATGGATGTGTGGTTGCGCCTATTTCCAGCTCTTGTGCCATTGCCTGGCTTACCCAATTGAATTTTCATTGGGACACTCTGCCGAAAAAACAAGCAGGCAAGCTACTCTTGTATCATGTTACCCGCACTCGTACTTCGACCTCCCCTGTACGGCGTCTTTTTTGTCTCTCTCTCTCTCTTTCTCTATCTCCGTATGTCATGTCTTTCCTTTATGTATTTCACCGTATTTCCCTTCTCCCCCTGGCTCTACGCTTAGTTACTCTACGCCCTCGCGGCCACCTCGTCTCTTACCAACTCTCCTTGCCTTTGCATACCATGCTCCGCACTTCCTGCAACCTTAGTGCATTCCTCACTCTGTCGAAGTCGGCCTTTCACACCAGCGGAACGCTCCAGCCTCGCCGCTTCAGTTCGCCCAGCGCAGACAGAAGAGCCTCCTCCTCCTCCTCCTCCTAGGAGGAGGAGGAGGAGGAGGAGGAGGAGGAGGAGGAGGAGGAGGAGGAGGAGGAGGAGGAGGGGGGAGGCGAGCTCCAGACTCTCCGGAGGCAGAGCGCACGAGGCCCAAAGAGAGAGGACGAAGAGACGCCAGGGAAGCGCGCTGCCGCTGCCTCGATCTCGCCTCTCCTCCGCCCCTCTCCAGGAGGAGGAGGAGGAGGAGGAGGAGGAGGAGGAGGAGGAGGAGGAGGAGGAGGAGGAGGAGGAGGAGGAGGAGGGGAGGAGGAGGGGGGAGGCGAGCTCCCGCCCGCCGGGGCGCGGCGCGGCGCCTGCGGGAGCGAGGGGAGCCTGGCCGGCTCCAGGTCGGGCGGCGGCGCCTCCTCGGCGGGTCATCCCGCGGGGCTGCCTCCCTTGCCAGCTCTATCTCCTCCTCCTCCTCCTCTCCTCCTCCTCCTCCTCCTCTCTCCTGCTCGAGGTCTCTTCTCTCCTCTTCCTCTTCCCGCTCCAGCTCTGTCTCTCCTCCTCCAGCCCTATCTCGCCTCTTCCCTCTCGAGGCCTCCTCCTCCAGCTCTGTCTCTCCTCTTCCCCTTCCCGCTCAAGGCCCAGGGGCACGCGGCGGCGGGCTCGGCGGTGCTTCGCCCGTGGCGCGCCACCGTGCCTGGCCTTTCCCTTGCTCAGTCTGCAGCAGCAACAACAACGATAGTTTCGGCTGCGCCCATGCCAGAACGACTCCCGCCACTTTCACTTCAGCGTGGTCCTGCAATCAATAACTGTTGGATCAGACATCAAAGTCTTACCGTGCCGTGCGCCGTCGAGCGTCAATCCAGCACGTGCCAATACGACACACTTCCGTGCACAAGCCAAAGCCTTCACCGTCTGTCTGAACGAGTTTGATTGCCCGCGTAGGAATGCAACCACGCCAGCACAAAACAAGTAGAAGGGTTGCGCTGTGACATTCGGCTATTGACTGAAACGTGATCGAGCATGAGCGCGAGAAACGCTTGGGTACAATGTGAAATCTTAAATCTTTAACGAATTTGAATTATGGATGAAAGACCCACGGGCTAGTACAGTGGAGCCGGCTGGGATCTGCCAACCGACGCGCGCGCTAAGAGCGATCATTCGACCGAACCGATACTGCGGTTGCCCCTCTGACTCCCCCTCTGCACCCCAATAGATACTACTTTGGCAAGTGAAGTGCCATCACGTGAGGAAAACACCACCGCGCTATCCCGAGCTGCGAGGCCAACACCGTATCCCCTATCTACCGTAATCCGAACGCAACATCTTATTCGACGCTTTATGGGCAAAACTCAAGCCAGCGGCGGATGGTGCCACGATCGGTAAACACGTGTAATATCTAAACACTGGGTCACCCCGTCGGCCCGCGGGACCTCACGCAATCGGGCAGGCAAACACCCTTGCGGGAAGACCGTGAAGGCGCAACTTTTCAAGAACATCGTGGGCCCCGCGCTCGCGCCCGCACAACGAGAACCACACGACTCAGGTCCACGCTCCGATGTTGATCGAAAACTCAACCGGCCAACGCGGCCCCGATCGACGATCGAGGGGGGGGGCGTCCCGTGGTGCAGACTCGAACCCCACCAGACGGATCCTTGCAGCCTACAACCCTCGTCACAATTAACCTCAAAAATGTCTGACGTGGTTGAACTGCTTGTCGGAAGATCTGGGGCCGAGTATCGATGAGTGCGGGGTACTTGCATGCGCCGCCCCTCCAATGTCGGTCGACGTCGAACTTTCGAGTCAACTTCGGTCAGACTATCTTTGTCCTCGCCCCGACATTGAAGGGGCGGGGTGTCGACATTGAGGGGCGCGCCGACATCGACATGACGTGCCAGCAACTGTTGAGGTTAATTTTGACGAGGGTAGTAGGCCCGCGCACCTGCTGCTCCCCGCGGGGCTGCGCGATCGGAGGAGGCCAAGCAGGCCGAGGGAGGGCGGTATGGGGCGGGGGCCGCGCTGGCGGGTCCTGGCCGCTGTCGAAGTCCAGGACGGGGAGGGTGCCCGCAAAGGCCTGCCCGCCAAGAGGGAAGTGGGGAGAGGACGGAGGCGCAGGAGGAGGAGGAGGAGGAGGAGGAGGAGGAGGAGGAGGAGGAGGAGGAGGAGGAGGAGGAGGGGGAGTTTGCGAGCGCGCCCCAAGGCCCCACGCGATCACCCCCCCCACCCCCGCCCTTCACCCCGCGCGCGCTCCAGCGCGCGCGGAGGAAAGGGAGAAGAGAGGAGGGGTGAGGAGCAAGGATGATGATGATGATGATGATGATGATGATGATGATGATGATGATGATGATGATGATGATGATGATGATGATTATGGTGATGGTGATGGTGATGATGATGATGATGATGATGATGATCATGATGATGATGATGATGATGATGATGATGGTGGTGATGGTGATGCTGATGATGATGATGATGGTGATAATGATGATGATGATGATGAGGACGAGGACGAGGAGGAGGAAGAGGAGCCCACGTACCCAGGGGGACGAATCGTGCAGCAACGCTATTGCGAATTTGCATGCTGAGAGACGCTAAGCCGCCCACCAACTCTGAACCCTGCGGGGTCCTGGCCACTTGAAGACGGATCATGCAGTACCGGTATGGATGGGGACGCGTGAGGCAAAACCGCAGGAGCGGCACCAACAATAGAGCTGAGCGCCCAGCCTGGAGAGTAATGCTATACTGTCCGAACAAGTGCCGTTGGGCAAGTGACTCAATGCGCAACTTGCGGAATATGATACTTCGAACTGTGAGTTCATGAGCGCGGGCGCGAGAAATCTCTGAGGCGGCATACTCGTCGTCGGAACCGAGGCCAGCTCTTACCAGGGGACTTGAGGAAAGGTGCAGGCGACCAGGAAGGGCGAGGAGGTGGAGGAGACGCCTCCTGTATCTCTGAAGGTCCCTGGACATGCGTGGAGGTCCTCGGAGGTATCCAGGCAAAGGCTCCTGGAGGCCTCTGGAGGCCCAAGCAAGGCCAGGGATGTCCGGACACCTCGGTCCTTCTCGTCCCGTTTCGAGGAACCACAACTTGCATAAATATCAACTTTCGAGGAACCACAACTTTCGAGAAACCACAACTTTCGAGTTTCGAGGAACCACAACTTTCGAGGAACCACAACTTGCATAAATATTAACTTTTGGTGGAGGTCCGCGCGGATTTCCTGGATCGTCGCTGGGCCCCCCTCCATGGCGCGCGGAACCCGCAAGGGGTGGCGCTGGAGGTGTCGCCAGGGGGCTCCAACGCCGATCCGAGAAATTCGCACGGACCTCTGGGACATTTTGCTATCCGACTCGTCGGGCCCCCCCCAAGCCTCGCCTAGTCCTCCTCCTCGAGGCGGAACAGACAGCACATCTGAAGAATCGGAAACGAGCCTTCCTCGAACCGGAGACCGGCCAAGACCCGATGCACCTCCTCCCCGTAAGACAGGGCCAGCGACGTCCTAACACTTCGGGCCCTCCTCGCCCCCTTCGCCCTCCCCAAACTTCGCCTTGTCCTCCTCCTCGAACCGCTTCATCATCTCCTCGAAGTCCGCGTCGAAGGCCGCCGGCCCCCCCGCGGGCGCCAGCGCGGCGAGCCGGGGCCCAGCCGCGCCGCCCTGAGGCGTTTTTTTTGTCCACCCTTTCTTCCAATTTTCCAAAGCGCCAGAAGCGTTCGCTGTTTTTCCTGATGTTGCGCGTTTCTTTCGAGGAGGAGTAAGAGGGGAACGCGGAGGAGGACCTGTTAAAGAAGGGCAATGGTGTTGATGGTGATGATGATGATCATGATCATGATGATGATGATGATGATGATGGTGCTGATGAGGATTATGGTCGCGATGATGGTGAGGATGGTGGCGATGAGGAGGAAGAGGAGGAGAGGGAGGAGAAAGAGGACGGAACAATAACGGGGATAGGACAGCAGGAGGGGGAGGAGGGAGGAGGGCGCCGAGGCGGAGGAGGAGGAGGCGGACAATGCTCCGACGGTAGGACCCCGCACGAGCATCCTCTCAGCGAATCTGGAAATGACCCTCATCGTCGTCCTCGTATGCGCGTGGCGCGGGAGAACTTAACGTAGAGATGCAGCCACCGCTGGTCGTCCGACGTGCCCGTGCGGTCAGCGCCTTCGCCCCTCGCGCAGTCGATGGTGACGTCCTTGCGCGGCGTCTGGCCCTGCGACAACGTGGAGGTGGGGTATGTATGGCGCGTGCGTCGGGGTGAACCCCGAGCGGCGCGCGGCGTGCGGCCCCGAGCTCCGCCGCGTGAGTTCCCGCTCGCTGGGTATGAGCATCAGCATGCTCCGCGACCGCGCCTCGGCGGCCTTCTGGTTGATCGGGGACTCCTCGACGCCGTGTGCCTGCAGCCAGATTCCCTGCGGTAGGAAGCGGGGGCGAAAGAACTGGCCTGGCGAGCGCTTCTCGTGCCGCTGCTAGTCCTCGGGGCGGGGCTCGAAGGGCGCGACGGTGGATCGTTGCTCCTGCGCGAGCCCCAGCTTCTTCTTCAACTCTTCCCGCGCTGCCGTGCATCGCACCTCCGTGCCGACGTGGGCCGGCAAGACGCCGTGGATGTCGCCCATCTCGTGCAGTCGCGGGGCGTTCAGGAGGCGCCGACCCGCGTCGGGATCGCCCAGGGTCGTGTTGCACTCGTCGACGGCCTGCAAGGAAACGAGGGGCGCGCCCAGGCGCCGCGCGTCGCGACGAGCGCGCGTGTTGATTCACCTCGCCAGCGTCTCCCAGTAGATGCCCATGCCGTAGCCGAGCCGAAAGTTCTCGTGCCGGTGCCGAAAATCCAGGACGCCGTGGTTGCACGAGGCCAGAGTCATTTCCCAAGCGGAGCAGACCACTGGAAAAATCATGAAACACAAATTCGAATTAGCGCACCCTTATTCACAAGGAAGAAAACAAGTGCTTGGAAACGTAAGTGACAGATATGTCTCGAACGCGTAGAATTCGACCGAGGATGGGTTGCCACTCCTGGCCCGGACGTAAGGGTCTCCCCCTGAGCCCGACTCGGCCGCCGATGGGTTGCCGCCGGCGGCCTGGGGACAAAGGTTTCCCCCTCCCCCCTGTTCGGCCGAGGATTGGCTACAGCCCCTGGCCCGGGCGCAAGGATCTCCCCTTGCGCCCGATGCGGCTGCCGATGGGTTAACGCCAGCGGCCCGGAGACAAGGAGTTACCCCTGCCCCCTGTTCGGCCGAAGGTGGGATGCCACCCCCGGCCCCGACGCAAGGGGTTGTCCCTGCGCCCGGCTCGGCCGCCGATGGGTTGCCGCCCCCGGCCCGGACGCAAGCGGTTGCCCCTGCGCCCGGCTCGGCCGCCGATGGGTGGCCGGCGGCGGCTCCGTGACAAAGGTTTACCCCTGCCCCCGGTTCGGCCGAGGATGGGTTACCACCCCCGGCCCGGACACAGGAGGTTGCCCCCGCGCCGCCGTCGTCGTCGTCGTCGTCGTCGTCGTCGTCGTCGTCGTCGTCGTCGCCTGCTCCTTGGTCGCCCTTGTGTCCCAAGCTACCGTGGAACCGCGGCAGTTCCCCTAGTCGTGCGCGCGGGCCCATGACAGTGACACGTTTGCCGACGACCAACTCGGCATAGAACCCTCAGCTCAATGCCTTTGCTCTCTGGGGGGGGGGGGGCGGCCGCCCTCCGTTTCCAATCTGAGCGTTCTTCCAGCTGCCGTCGTCAGCACTGTCGCGGCCGCCCTTTGCCCGCTGTGCACTCCGCGGGGGCTTTGCCGCCCAAGTCGGTGGTGCGGCCCCCTCCTCTTCTCCGTCTTCGACGGCGGCCTCCGGGGTTGCCGCGGCCATCCTGCGGCGCAGGCCTCGAGGGCCGCGTAGGTCTCAGCTGCTGCGTTCGACGCATTCTAAACTCAGAAATCCTTTCTCAGCGCCGGCTAATTCGCCGGGTCTGGGACGGCTGCCGCCCCGCCAGCTCCACGCGCGCCTTCAGGGAGCGCAGCGCTTCCGCGAACCGCTGCTGGAGCTTGGAGACGACCGCGCGGTGCCACCTTGCACAGGTGTCCGCGCGTTCCTGCGGCTACCTGCCCAGGTTGTCGTGCTCGTTCGTCGGGGCCCCCGTCGCCGCCGTTGCCTAAGGGGTCGTCGCTCGTTTGGATTCCCTGTCCAGAGGCTCGCGGCCTCCTCGGGAAAGCTTGACCTCCTCGCCCGCGCAGGCCGCTGGTCTCAGCATCCTCCAGAAAACCTCCTGGTCCGCTGCCGCGGCCTCTGCGTGCCCCACGGGCTTGCGGACCATATCCTGTCCTGCGTTGTCGCGCCGCGGCAGGAAGTAGTCCCTCTCGAAGTCCGCGATCTCCTTCCACAGGTTGAAGCCCGTCTGTATCCATGTGGGGTCCAGCATGTAGCGTTCACGGGATGCCACTCGGCAGCTCTGGCATCTTGCGCACCGCTCCGCAAGTCTGCGTGCGTCCCAGCGTGGTCGTCAGCCCCCCGTCCACGAAAGCGAGGCGCTGTGGCGGGAACCAGCTGTGGTCGCCGTAGCGCAGCACCGCCCGCACTTTGACGAGGCGGAGCCACGCCACCACGCGTAGGTGCCTCGCGAGGTCCTCGTCCATGACCAACTGCTCCAGGGCCCCAATGAACGCGCTGGGGAACCGTGCTGCCCTGGTCGTCGGGCCCTTGCCAGCGCCGAGGAGCATCTCCACGTTTGCGACGAAATGCTGGGCCTCGGGCCGAGCGGAGAGTCTGTCGTTCTGGTCCACGCCCGCCGCGCGCTCCGTCCACACCATGGCGCGCAAGGCTTGGTTGGGCACAGTCTGCCCGCGCAGCTCGGCGGCCCTGGCGTGTGCGTAGTCGACGAAGTGGGCGATCGTCATGGTCCAAGGGACACCGCGCGCAGCAGCGCATGCGCATCGTCTCCATGGCCCGCACGTACGGCCTCACCGTGATGATGCGCGCGCGGCCCGTGGTGCCGTCCTTTGCCCGCTCCGGGTCCACGCAGGCACGTGCCGTTTCCGGTGAGGTTTGTCTCATTTCCTCGAGCAGCGTGATCAAGCGCGGCCTCCACCGAGCCCACTCTTGCGCCTTCAACCCGAGACGGCTCTTCTCCGCTGCCGTGCGGCACCTCCGCGCGAAGCGGGTCCCCGCCATCGCACGACCCCCCGACGGCGGCGGGGTTTCGGGTGATCTTTGGCTGGCCGCCGCCACGAGGATCGCCGCGGCGTCCTCCAGCATGGCCTACTCAGGGCAGCCATTGGACGCCTTCGGCCCTTTCTGAACTGGCTCTTGGGCCATTGCCTGGCCCCGAACTCCCTCAGCGGCCGCCGTCACCTGCTCGAGCGTTCCCTCGGACTCGGTTTCGTCCGCCTGGAGCGCCAAGCGCGGGCCGAGGATATCGTATTCATGAAGCACCTTGCGGAGCCGCCGCCGCGCGGCGTCGAGGGCGCACGGCCCAATGGTCAGCATCAGCGCCCAACCGTTTTTCAAGATTGGCCGAAGGTCTGAACACAAATGGCCACAGTTTCGTGTTGGCACACGGCGCTTTGGGTTGAACTGCTCGCGCAACTGATGTATTTGATCTTCTTTCGACATATGTGCGCGCGTGTCTACTTCGTGCTACTTTTTCGCAAGGGATTCTTGAACAATGATGTTCGAAATGGACGAATGGACGGACCTACTTTCATTTGACAGGAATGATGGGGGGTGTAAATACCTGGCCTGCCTGGGATGGTATGATTTCATAAAAAGAAAACGAGTGGGGAGGCATAATCATATGTAAGTTGTGCTATCCCAGGATGTATTGATAACCGCAGGGGGAGTGTGGTGGAGCCTATCTTTCTTTCGAAAAGAGAACATGTCTCTGGTGAAGTTTTATGTGGTGCAAGCGATGTGGTGCAAACTATGTGGTGCAAGGTATGGGGACCACGCAATGGGGTGCAACATGTGGGGTGAAAGCTACGTGGTGCACGCTGTGTTGTGCGATCTAGGTTGTGCGAATCAGCGAACACCTGGAAACACCACCCACACGAACGGGGCGCCCACCCGGAGCCCAACCAACGCACTGGGCACCCACGAAGCACCTACGGGGCGGCCATTGCGTGAAATCCCGGAAACGTCACCCAGCGCACGGGGCGCCCATGAGGCGCCAAAGGAGCGAGCACTCGGGGGTCCCACCCAATTCCACTCACTTGCTTACCAGAGAAGTAATAACTACTTAACGTGAGCATTGCTTGGGGAGAGATAGGTCGCTCGCTTCTGCATGGGCGGTGACCTCTCGCTCTCCGCTCCGTCTACTGGTCCTGCTTTTCTATCCTTTCTTCTCATCCCCTGTGCTCCCTGTGCTTTGCTCTGCTCTTCTCCTCTGCTCTCCTATCCTCCCCATCCTTTCCCTCCCCTCCCTTCCCTTCTCCTCTGGCCTCCTCTTTTACCATCTCACCCTCTCTTTTCTGCTCTCCTCTGCTCTGCTTTCCTCTACTCGACTCTTTTCTCTTCTCCTCTCCTCTCCTCTACTCTCCTCCCAGCTCCTCGCCTCCTCACCCTCTCCGCTCTGGGCCCCAACGCTCCATCGGCAGCGAAACTCTTTGAAAACGGCCTGGCGAAGCACATATCCTCGTGCTGCCTCTCGCTCCGTCTCCTCCTCATCTCGAGGAGGAGGGGGAGGAGGAGCAGGAG